TGTTGTTGATTTTTCTTTTTGAAAACCGTTTTGTTCCTCCCGTACTATTTTATATTTATCTAGGAAACTATTACGTCTAGTATGCATGGCTTTTTCAAATATTTTAGCTAATATTGGGATAAGAGCAATAGGTCTATAGTTATTAACTTCTTTTTTGTCGCCTGCTTTATGGATTGGTTTAATTACAGAGATTTTAAGTATGTTTGGAAATAATCCGTATTCAAATGATATATTAATAATATAAGAAAGAACTGGAGATATTAAATCAGCACAATACTTTAAGATTTTCGTAGAAATTCCATCATAACCCACCGAATTTGTATCATTTAGTCCTTGTATAATTTTTTAAATTTCTTTAACGGAGCAGGGTTGCAAAAATATACTGTTATTTATAAGATTTAACTTTTTAATGAAAAAAAAAATTATCTTTTTGATTCGTTCTATTTGTCAAATTTGTAAAGAAGCTGTTAAAGATATTTGCGATTTCTGGATCAATTTTTCGTTATTGTAAATCGAATTAATGTCTAAATTTCTCCGTAAATCATTTGAGGACTCTTTGATTAGGTTCCAAGTTGCTTTACACTTATTTTTAGCTTTATTAATAAAATTAATGTTTGCGTTATTTTTGGCTTTAATGATACAAGATTTAAAAATTTTGCTATAAGTCCTGACTTGTACCTTACTACTATTTTTTTATTTTTAAAAAATAAGCCCAGTAATCTTCTTTTTGTGCGACAGGATTTTTTAATTCCTTTTGTAATCCATTTTGTTGTGGAATTAAATTTTTTTATTTTTATTTTTAATGTAGGAAAGCAGAGATCATAAAACATTGTTAAAGTTTCATGACAGTTGTTAAATGCGGAGTTAACATCCGTGTCTTCAATTACATCTTTCCATGAGATACTGGAAAGACACTGTCTAAATTTCATAATATATTCTTTGTTGTAATCTCTTATAAATATAAAAAAATGTGGTTTTGGTTTATGGGTTAAAATTGTTGGTACGAATTCTAATGTTTGTGCTGTGTCATGGTCTGACAAATGAAGCGCATGTGTTTTGCCTACTGCATTTGTTATATTGCTTACAATATGGTCTAAGCACGATGCATTACGAGTAGGGCCTAATATATGTGATTTTAAATTATAATTTGCTAAAAGCCCATTTAATTCTATTGATAATTTATTCTTTACAAGAGAATTAATATTGAAATCACCCGCTATAACAATTTTTTTATTTTTTAAGCGGTGTTACCGCCATTTCTCAAATTAAAATATTCCGCGTTTTGGTCAATCTTATCGACGAATCAGATTTCCTCTATAATACCTTCATTTGTTCCACTAATTCCTTCTTGCGACCGACAATCGGGTAGAAGGAGAAGTCTAAGTAAGAACACGCCCGCACGCGGAAGCATATTGTGTCACGCTTGCGACTCGCATATCTGTTTAATTATTATACGCCTAAAATCACGGCCGTGAATTGTATAAAATAAGTGTAAATCGCGCAAGAAAACTAGGAGTGTACCACGCGAGTGTCAACCTCAAGTAAGAAAAGAAGCTGACGGCGTTCTCCAGGTGCGTACCTTCAGTTTTATGTGTCGGTTGCAAATTTCAACGAAATCCAATTCCAACTACCTATTACAGTCCACTTTATTCCAATTTTGAACCACGTGTCACCATTTTGGTCACTTCGCCCGGATTAAAACCTTTCCATTATGTTACCATTTTTGCCACTTCGTTGGAATATTCAGATGCAGAATAGGCATAATTAAAACCATATATATATGCTTAGAAACATTAAATATAATATTTTACTTGATTTCTTGCATATATACACGCATTATATATTTATTACATTGATTTAAAGCCGTATATTTATCGCTATTATATAACTTACCGCAATACATAATACAATGTCTAACCCGCTCGCTCACGAAGAAATTTAGATCAGTTTAATAAATCTACCTGATATTTCCGCGACAGATTAAGTGTTTAGGACGCTCTAATTATTAGTGTATTTGTCCATCTCTCGCCAGTTAAAATTAAAACTTTACTTATAACCTTAATATTTCCTATATATATTTATTATAAAAATGTCAAAAACTAGCGCGTCAAAAACTAATGAATCTAGGACCGAAACGCCAGACCCCAAATTAATGATGTTATTAAATATAGCTATAGCTAGGCGCGATTCTTTATTTAACCGCTTACAAACAATTTATGATCGCTCTCAACAAGTAGATAGTGAGGTGGACAGGGAATAGTTCCTTTCTGGAGCGATTTCGATTGATGCATTCGAAGTGATTTCGAAAGGGTATTAACCGAGTACAATTTATATAATATGCAAGTCTACCCAGAAGCAAAGGTGGAATATCAGTCATGGGTTGCGTTCGAGGAACTATACTGTCATATAAAACGTGTAATGTCTCGTCTTACAAGTCGAATAACAAATGAATGTCCGAGATCGGCCACAATATCGCGACCGTCTTTACCGCCTATAGAGCTAGCGTCGTTTGATGGTGATATCCGCTCATGGTCTTTATTTTATGCAAGTTTTAAATCCACTGTGCATGATAACCCGTCCCTATCAGACGCCGATAAATTGTATTACCTGCTAGGTAAATTAACAATCAAAACGCATTCTGTGTTCGCCGGTATTACTCCTTGTGCTGAGAATTATGAACTTATTTTGAACGCGCTTATAGAGAAGTACGATGATAAACGCATGCTAGCATCGACCTATATCAATCAAATTTTTGACTTTAAACCAGTTTCTAACTCTTCTGCTCGAAACCTATAATTATTTTTACATACGTTCGTAACCGCGGTTAGCGCATTAAAAAACTTACAAATACCTGACCTAACTGATTTTATTATATTACATACCGCCTTAAAAAAGTTGGACCCCGAAACAGTTCGTTCTTTTGAAATGCATTCTCGAAAGGATAAAATTCCTAATCTTAAAAGTTTAACCGACTATGTAAAGGAACAAGTTAATATATTACAGCGCTCTTATCATTCGAGTTTGACCTCGAATTCGAACCCGAATCACCGACCCACCGCAAAAGTTCCACAACCGCAATCTTATGTCGCTATGGCCGATACATACAAATGTTTGTGCAGGGATATTGCGCATGATCATTTATACAAGTGTCCGGCGTTTTGTAAAATGACAGCGAACGACCGTTATAAATATGCTAAGGAACGACACGCTTGCGTAAATTGTTTGAGTGTTATACATAAGGCAGGGACTTGTAACTCTAACTCTAAATGTAAAATTTGCAAAGGCAAACATCATAGTTTACTTCACTTTGACGCTTTCAAACCTGCTAACGCTCGCGTTGTGACTACCGCCGCCGAGTCATCGGGTACAACGCGCGCGATCGTACCGACAACAGCTGCTCCCGCGTCGTCGCCCGATGCGCGTAGCAAGAGCGTTTCGTTGTGCACAACGGCCATTGGCGCACCGCTATCAACGCAATCTTGCGTATCCGAAGATTTATTTACACGCAATGTATACACTACGGTTCTGCTATCCACTGCAGCGGTTATGGTACCCGACGCGTATGGCACGAGCCGTAGTGTGCGTTGCTTATTAGATAGTGCATCACAGAGCAATTTTATAACGTCGGAATGTTGTGATAGATTAGGTTTATTAGTAAATAAAGGTAAAGTGTATAGGGGGTTCAGAAAAATACGCAAAGGGAGTTGTAGCATTCCAGTTCACTTCTCGTTTTAACCCTAACATAAGATATAATATTTCGTCGCTCGTCGTCGATAGAATAACAGATGACTTACCGTCTATGCCTGTCAACGCATCCGCTATGCCGTTCTTACAAGATTTGCCGTTGGCCGATGAAAAATTCTTTGAGCCATCACAGATCGATGTTCTGATCGGTGCTTCTTTATTTTCGCAACTTTTATTGCCCGGTATAGTAAGGGATAACTCTGCTGTACCGCCAGCTATACAAACAACGCTTGGTTACGTAATTATGGGCACTGTGCCCGCTCTTCCCGCTCGCGAAAACGTAACCTTGACGTGTTGTAGTACATTACCCGCATACGCCGAGGAAGACCCGCTAGATACGTTGGTAAAACGGTTTTGTCAATTAGATGAATCTCCTATGAGAACTCCGCCCACTCAGTCCCCGGCTGAGATAGAGTGTGAGCATTTCTTTCGCGAAACCACTGAACGTGACAAAGAAACGGGCAGATACATAGTATCGTTGCCTTTCCGAGATGATATATTTTCGCTTGGTGATACTTATGAAACCGCTTGGAAACGTTTTCTGATGTTGGAGAGGAAGTTTGAAGCCGCTCCTGAGTTTAAGGCCGCGTATCTATATCTATATAGTTATCCACGAATATTTAGAAAAGGGCTATCTGTCACCCGCGCCGCTTGTTGACAGTGATAACTGCTATCCCGTTTACGTCATACCACACCACGGTGTTTTGCGTACAGATAAGACCACTACTAAACTTCGCATGGTTCTCGACGCGAGTCATAAATCGAGTTCAGGCCGCTCACTGAACGATATTCTCCATAGTGGTCCCAATTTACAAGGTGATCTGTTTGCGATTATTTTAAATTTTCGTCTTTTCGCTACCGCGCTTTCCGCTGATTGTAAACAGATGTTCCTTCAAATTATAATGAATAAGCGCGATCGTCGCTTTCAACGCATGTTATATCGTTTTCACCCGCAAGAAGAACTTACCGAATATGAATTTAATAGGGTTTGTTTTGGACTTAGGTCCAGCCCGTATCACGCGCTCCGTGTCATTCAGCAACTCATTGCGGATGATGGAGATTCATTTCGGTTAGCAAAGATAATTGCTTCTCGCTATATCTATATGGACGATATCGTTTTTAGTGTTATGTCGGAGGAGGAAGCTGCATCAGCTGCTAATGAGCTGATTGAGTTATTTGAACGTGCGCAGTTCGATTTAGTAAAATGGACATGTAATTCCGACTCGGTCTTAAGCGCTCTGCCTTCGTAATATAAGATGTCTGAACCTCTTGAATTTGATAAAACCGCTCAATTTAAAATTTTGGGCTTGAGTTGGGATAAATCTCGCGATTGTTTTGAATTTAAAGTAACCAAGCTTGACGAAAGGTGTTCAAAACGAATCATTTTAGCCACTGTAGCTAGAATTTGGGACATAATGGGCTTCGTAGCGCCTGTTGTTCTCTTCGCTAAACTTCTCATAAAGGATTTGTGGCTATTGAAACTTGATTGTGACGATTGTCCGCCCCAGCAAATAGTCGAAACCTGGAAAAGGTTTTGTATAGAGTTACCGCTACTCAATTACGTCAAAATACCGCGACATTTGGGGGTCTTCGAACATTGCGTTGTACGACTGGTCGGCTTTTCTGATGCTAGTGAGCGTGCTTATGGAGCAGTGGTATACGCCCATATTACTCAAGCAAGCCAGGTTACGACGCGACTCGTCTGCGCCAAGTCAAAGGTCTCACCAATGAAGCCTTTGTCTATTGCACGTCTCGAACTCTGTGCTGCCGAATTACTGGCAAGACTAATTAAACGCGTGCACGACACCTACGATTCACGCTATCATATTAGTGATATGTACGCGTTCACAGACTCAATGGTCACACTTTGTTGGATAAACTCTTCTCCGCACCGCTGGCAAACTTTTGTTGCTAACCGCGTCGTCAAGATTATTGACAATTTACCAGCCGCTAATTTTCATCACGTTGCGGGAATAGATAATCCAGCAGATTGTTTATCGAGAGGTCTTACACCCGAAAGGCTAATATCTCATCCATTATGGTCACAAGGTCCGTCCTGGCTCGCGCAAGACCTCTCGCTGTGGCCTATCACTAATACAGACCATAATACTATAGCACTAGACAACGTACCGGAAGAGAAAATAACCGCACACCCCAATACTACGTCAGAACCAGAAACGTCCTTAGTTCAAGATCTTAATAAACGCATCTCCTCCTGGAGTAGACTCACGCGTATCCTTGTTTATGTCTGCAGATTTATAAATAAACTACCCCGTTCCGGTTCGATAGCAGTTACCGCGTTCGATATAAGTGCCGCAGAGCATATGATAATAGGCGATATTCAAAAAAGACATTTTGCATTCGACATTAGACAGCTGGGAGCCGGTAGTAATTGCTCGCCCGCGCTTATGAAGCTTAAGCCATTTTTATGCGATGGCCTCATCCACGTTGGTGGTCGCCTTACCAACTCCGCTGAAAGTTCAGAATACAAATTTCCGATTATTTTACCGCGTCATGACGCTCTTGTAGAGTCTTTGATCGACTACTATCACAAGAAATATTTACATGCCGGCCCAGAGCTGCTCATGTCTTTGTTAAGACAACGATTTTGGATCTTGTCCGCTAGACGAATTATTCGGTCTAGAATTAATAAGTGTAACACTTGCTTTAGATTAAAACCGCGCCCGCGATTTCCTTTAATGTCTGCTCTGCCGGGACATAGAGTCACGCAAGCGGAGAAAGCTTTCGCTCATACTGGCTGTGATTATTGCGGCCCTATATTGTATACGCCCATACGAGCTCGAGGTGTTAAAACTCGCAAGGCTTACCTATGCATATTTACTTGTCTTACTACGCGCGCACTCCACATCGAAGTAGCCACGGATCTTTCCACTGTGAGTTTTATCGCAGCTTTAAAGCGCTTTCTATCGCGACGGGGTCCCGTGAAATGTCTTTACTCTGATCGTGGAACAAATTTTATAGGCACTCGATCTTATCTACGAGATTTATATAATTTTGTCACAAAGGAATACCGCCCGCGTTTAGAAGAAGAATTGGCCGAAAGTCGCATTGAATTCAAGTTCATAGCGCTTGCCGCCCCACATTTCGGTGGTTGTTGGGAGAGTATGGTGAAATGTGTAAAGAACCATCTTTTTAAGGTTATTGGAGAGCAGATCCTTGCGTATGAGGAGTTAATCACAATCCTCGCTCAAATAGAATGTTTACTAAACTCTCGTCCTCTCACTGTGCTTAGCTCCGATCCAGCTGAACCGACGGCTTTAACACCCGCACACTTTTTGAATACGTTACCATTGCGCTCTCTACCTGCACCTGATGTGGAATCTTCGCCAATTAATTTACTTCAACGACATACACTCTTAGATAAATTAGTCCAATCCTTTTGGCGTCGTTGGAGGACTGAATATCTGCATCAACTGCAGGCGCGGCGTAAATGGACTCAATGCTCGGTGCCCGTAAAGGTGGGCACAGTTGTCATAATTATAAATGATAATTCACCGACCCTCTCCTGGCCTTTGGGAGTGATCGTAAAGGTTCACCCGTATGAGGACGGTATAGTTCGTGTCGCTACAGTAAAAACGGCAAGGGGTACACTCGTGCGACCAGTGGTGCGCTTGTGTCCGTTACCTACACAATAATAAACTCTACATCGCTCACATCTTACATCTTTACATCTATGTAATATATATATATATATATATATATATTTGTATTCGCTTAGTTTTAGTAAGTATTAATTGTATTTATCGCAGCTTATTATTATTTTCTTTTAAAGGCGACCCTTTAAGGGCGGGGGAAATGTTACCGCCATTTCTCAAATTAAAATATTCCGCGTTTTGGTCAATCTTATCGACGAATCAGATTTCCTCTATAATACCTTCATTTATTCCACTAATTCCTTCTTGCGACCGACAATCGGGTAGAAGGAGAAGTCTAAGTAAGAACACGCCCGCACGCGGAAGCATATTGTGTCACGCTCGCGACTCGCATATCTGTTTAATTATTATACGCCTAAAATCACGGCCGTGAATTGTATAAAATAAGTGTAAATCGCGCAAGAAAACTAGGAGTGTACCACGCGAGTGTCAACCTCAAGTAAGAAAAGAAGCTGACGGCGTTCTCCAGGTGCGTTCCTTCAGTTTTATGTGTCGGTTGCAAATTTCAACGAAATCCAATTCCAACTACCTATTGCAGTCCACTTTATTCCAATTTTGAACCACGCGTCACCAAGTGGAATAATTTATTTAATAATACTTGTAATTTATTAAAGAATATAAATTCATTCGAATTTGGTGTACTATAAATACATATTATAAATACAATTCCAATGTGGTATTTCTACACCACAACACTCAAAAGATTTTTCTACTGATAATTCATTACAAAAATGTATAACATTAAAATCGTAGTGTTTCTTTACCAGAATACAAACACCGCCACGAGATTCTCTTGATCTACCATAGGAACTAGCTACTCGAAAATCTTTCAAATTGATGTTATGTTCATGTCCTGATTTAATAAAAGTTTCAGTAAAACAAAGTACATTTAAATATATGTTAGACTCAGAAAGTTCATCAATACATATTTCTAACATTAATAATTTGTTGAGAAGTCCGGCAATATTTTGATGAAAAATTATAACTTTATTACTTAATTTAATTTTAATTAATGTTAATTTAACTTAATTAAAATTAACGAAAGCAATTAGTATCTTGTTTTAAGTCGGTATCATGTACAGATACGGTGTGTGATATTTGATTTTTATAAATTTTTTTAAAATAATACGGTATTGTCCCCTTTTTTATTACATTGTGTTCTTTAAATTAGTTGCTTATGTTTGTTATTTGTTTTTTTGAATATAATGTGTTTTGCATTTTTATAATATAATAGGGTATAGTACCCGGTTTGTAAACTGTTGGCGAGATGGTTTTCAATCTTTGGGGCTTTAAAAACATATTTGAATAATCTAAGTAAAAAAAATATTGTTTTTTACTTAGTTGTCTATTTGGTAAATATATAAAATTACAATTATTTACATTATTACACAGGGTCTTAATTGTATGATTTAATTTAACTGTATTAAGATAATTGTTATTATTTATGCTTAATAATATAACATTTAAATTACGCATACTCCTTAAAGCAGATGAAAGTTCAATACTAAATTTTGTGGGATTTGTGTCATTTTCACCAACACACAATACAACATAGTTTGATTCGTTCGGCTGAAGTTTATAACAAGCCTTTAAGATTTCTTCTGCCGTCGCATAACGCTTAGTAATAGATGAGATATTATATTTGTTATATGTTGATTGTTGTCTTGAAATTATTAAATGTGATGAAAGCCCGACGCATTGTTGACTGCCTATTATGAATATTTTCCTTTCAAAATTATTTTTTCGTTCTTTATTCGTCAAAGGTTGGTTTAAAGTATAAATTTTGGTACGGGTAGTGTTATCTTGTGATAACATTTGGGACTTAATACATTTATTGTCAATGTTTTTTAAGGATTGTTTTTGAATTTGGCTATAGGTTTGAGATTGTTTACTTTGTATTAAATTATCATTTCTTATCTGTAATTCCCGGAAACTTGAATTAAGGTCATCTAGTCAGTTATCTATAAAATCCTTGCGTAATTGCCTTTTTAGAATTTTTTTCGTTGAGTTATACTTTTTAATGCTCGTATTAGATTCGGTAGCAAGCTTTTTGACGTTTTCTATAGTTTTTTGCTGATCTTTTATTTTCTTAGTTAAGGTATGTATTTCATAATTTAAGTTATCAATTTCACCGTTAGCACTGTCTAGTTTATTCTGCAAGTTCTTTATTTCTTCCCTTAATTCGTCTGTATCACTATCATATCCAATCGATAAATCGGGTAAGCTATGCCTTCTAAATTCTGTTCTTTGCGATGTTAAAGAAGAATCGATAGAATCATTTGTCCTGCGTTTACGAATTGTGATATTGTCAATTTCCATTTTTCGTTTTGTTTTTACAGAAATTAATAATATTTTAAATAAAACATAAATTTAATGTTTTGGAGAGTAGCTGTTTTAGTTATTCTCATTAACAAATACGAAAAAGTTTCTTTTCCTTACATATTTGGTTTTGGTATTTTATTGGATACGATCTGACGAACCTAAATCTTGTGCTCACAGTCTCGCAATTGAGCTATATAAGTCGTAGGTCTATTGGTGAATTTACGTAATAAATCCTTGTTTATTTTATTTACTAATGTGTGACGTGAGTAGTAGTGCTCTAAATTTATGCCACTTCACTTTTAAATATTTTAACATACCCTATCTTCTTTTGAAACATATTTTCATTTTTTTGCCTTTTTGCCAAATTTTATGAGTTCTAACTCCATGAATAGTTCAAATGGTTTAGATACACAATTTTTTGCACTGGTTTTATATATAATGCACTAATTTAAGATGACGTCACTATAAATTTTGAAAGTATTCATTTCACAAAATTTGTCACTAGTTGCTTTAAGATAACTTAGTATGTTGAAGTATGTACAGAATACAGAAATTTCCAGCGTTTTTGATAAAATCTATTCACTTTTACTATTTTAAATGGAAATAAATTCGCAGAGCAAACGTTGGCGCGGCTACTCACGTTATGTAATTATGGTTGTAGCACGAATGGGTCGGCTCGACCGGGGAAGGACCATGCTCTCACAGAATACCAGCGTAAAATATCAGCTTAACGCTGCTGTGTTTCCTATGATGAGTGTAGAGAACCGGAGACCCTTTTTACTGGAAACGAGGCATTCTTAGTCCTCATGGGTGACAAAGCATCCGCATTTTTATTCGTAATCGAAGGTAGGTGTAGATGTCTATGAGCCACAGCAACCACTTACCATCAGGTGGACTGTGTGCTCGTTTGTCACCCTTATCCTATAAAAAAAAAACATTTTTTTTCTAACTGTAGAATCCGCATGTACTCTGTTTGACAAACAGCAAAATAAAATTTTTGGAACGCAAACCGAGCATTTATTTTCATTTCTCTTCTCGTTGTGTGGGTAAGTCTATCGATTCATTATAAACATTCAAGATAAATATCGACATTAATTTTGATATAGTTGAGTCAATCTATCGTACATGTAAAATATGTTGTATAACATGTATTTTACAAATTCATACAAATTATCAACAACGTGACAACACACACAACAACTTTTTTCTTTGCATAATATCAACATTAACAAAATAATTGAATATATTCCATATTTCAAACAGTATATATGTAATAAATATATGTAACATACATTTAAACAAAAATAAAAGCCTCTTTTTATTGACAACGTCTTGAGAATCTACCTGTAAAATGTGTAATTATTAGGATTATTTGTTTTATTTACACCACAGTCACTCACAGAACTAGTATCCACTTTGGTAAACAATAATTAAGTAATAATATTAAGAGTATAACACTCTAAAAACTACGAAATATCTAGGAGCTTATTTCTTGCGTGCTGACCTGCTATTCGAAATGGAAATACAATGAGATTTGCTATCCCTTTCTATCTTGCTATATTGCTTTAAGTAATTTTCTTGTCATTTGCACACTATTTCCGTCTATAACCATCCTAAGTCTATGTTTCATCTCACTATCAGGTGCACTGTAAGTTCGTTTGTCACTTCAGTTTTATGTCAAATGGGTCTCAGATTCATAAGCAATATACTAGCTATTGCTTATGAATCTGAGAATATCATTACACTGCTATTTCATTCTGTGAGAGATTTTATTCTGTGAGAACATGGTTCTTTCCCGATCGAGCTAACCATACTGCAAACACACAAACTGCAGCGAACGTTTAGAGGTATGTTGAAGTAAATCTTTTACATCATCTTAACCTACTTACCTGAAAAATTACAACAATTTTTTCACCGTTCATTAGCATCAAAAAGTTTCATTAACTTATAAATGTTTAATCTTTATGGTTTAGTTATTTTCTATTTAGAAATATATTTCTGTATGGATTAATAATTGAATATTTTATTCAATAATAATATAATATAACATTTTGTCAGTCATTTTTATATTATAACAGTAACATTTAAAAATATAAAATAGGTTTAACAATTATTTACAGCACGTATTATAAGAAACAGCTGGGAAGTGTTACCTCATTTCCAGGGGTTCAATCATAGTTTATATGATAGTACCTATTTTTGTAGTCTATGTTTGAAAAAATTGTAACAGAGAACTGATCTGAGCTTACACATGTGTGTTTACGTTGTATATGTATTGTGTTATATATTGAAATCTCTAATTTTAGATTCTGTACTTAATATTTAATTGTTATCTTAATTAATTTTAAAACATTAGCACTCTCCATAGTCTCTGATTTACCAGAAGGTAGACTGGTAGAAAATGTCCTATGGCATTCAGTCAGCGTTTACGCTTACAGCGTTTGTGTGCAAAAAAACTTAAAAAAGAATAAATAATTCAACTAAAATAGAAATCCAGTAATATTGAACAATTTCATTAAACACTCGTTATAATATATACTCGGAGTAGAAAGTTACAATCTACAGCTGTGGTAAAAAGGAAGGGAAAATACAAGTAGACTTAATTAATAAAAAAGAATATCCATATCTCAGGCTATGCGTCGAAACCATATTGTGCTGAA